TCCATCTGTCGCTGTATGGCGTCATCTTCGTCATCATTGGGTCCGTAGGATACGGCTTCTTCTCGATTCGCCTTGTTCTTAGCGTTTGTCGCATCGCCATCACCGTCATCGTCGTCATCGTCGTTGTCGTCCCCGCCACCTCTTGTCTCTCCGTTGCCCGTTGCCATCTCAACAACGCCAGCCCTGGCACCAATATCAGGCGTGGCTGAGCTGGACTCACTTCGCCGTTTCTTGATCTCCTTGGTCATTATCTTCAAAAGATGATCCAAGAACCTCTTCTCCACCGTATCCATAACATCAGAGGCATCGATCGCGTAGGTCTTGGTGTATTCCTCCGAGGGAAAAAAGTTCAGTCGGACATCGTAAAGTTTAGCCAGCGCGCTATTTTGCCCCTTTCCAATGCGTTCATTGACGCTGGCGGTGTCAAGCACATCGGCCAGAGGCAACACACTGATGGACTTTGCAAAGATTTCTCCCTCAGTTGCGGAGAGCTCCTCGTGGAGAAGGAGAGTCATCGACGGCGTGGAGATAGATCGACTCGCAGTCATGAGAATCTCGCGAAGACGGGGAATACCAAGCGTGACATTCTTTGCTGAATGACCGGCCAAATGGAATGTGTTCAGCGTCATCTGAGTAGAAGGCTCACCGACACTCTGGCCAGCTACGATACCGACACCTTCTCCAGCCTCGACGAGTGAACGCATGTATTTAGCGGCGAGTACGAGCTCAGCTGACTTTCTGTTCACGGCAGGAGCGTTGATAAGACCAGAGAGATCTTTAGACTTGTCGCGGATCAGGCCATCCTCGTTATTCTTGATGTACTTGGACATCTTCTCGTAGAACTTCTCGGACGTGGCGAAAGCTACCCTGGCAGGGTTGACGAGAGCAATGATTGGGTCTTTGGCGGCGATGTCGACCTTGGCGTGCTTGATGGCGCTCTTCATGTGTTTCAAAACGTCGTCCTTGTTGCCGGCAAACCTGTCCTTGAACTGGCTTCCGAAATTCAGCTGCGCCGTTTCGGAACCGATGTTGCGGAGAACGAAGCCAAAGTCGGTGAGATACTTCTGCTTGGTTGGATCCAGTCCGTCTTCGCCATACAAGAATTGTACCAATGTGCCGTCGGCGTCGCGAACAGTAGAGTCGTACGAAACCGTCAGTCCTTCCATGCCCTTGATGATACACCTCTGCAGGTAACCAGAACGAGATGTCTTGACGGCGGTATCGATAAGGCCTTCACGACCTGCCATGTGATGGAAGTAATACTCTTGCGGCCGGATACCCGTCAAGAAACGCTGGACAATGTAGCCACCAGCGCGAACATCTGTCTCGAACGGCCGGAAGCAAGGCAAAGACTTTCCACTGACCATGAGCGGAACTCTTCGACCCTCAAGGACTTGTTGTCCCAGATTGCACGAAATGAGGTTAGCATTGACTTGGCCACCCTTGGCGCCAGATGTTGTCATCGACTGCATCTGGTTCTTCGGAAATTGCTTGACCAAACCTACCGGCAGACATGCAGCTGTCACCATGCTAGAAACCTTTGCAGAGCTCTGGTTCATGAGCATATCGAGACCTTCCTGCTTGCTGTCGTCACGCATAACCTCCTCTAGGCGAGTGAGAAGCTCTGGGTCATCGCTGCCGGGCTTATTGTCCTCCAAAGACACGTACCTGGCCGCAACCTCAAGACCGATACCCTTCGCAGCCTTGAGAGTTTCTTTTCGAGATACCTCGCCTTGAGGTGTGAGCCTCAGATCATCCATACCGCAAGTAAATGCCCGCATGTTCAGGTATCTCGTAAGAAGTCGGCCAATGCCACTCAGCAACTTGCCAGCAACCGCAGGGCCGTAGATTTCATGAATAGCATGAATCAGGCCGCCTGAACTGGGACCGAGCTGGGCCTTGTCGAGGATACCGGAAAGGAATTGACCATCCTGGAACAGTACAGTACCCTCCTCCGAGCCTTTACCCCACTGCTCACCCTTAACCTGGCTTTTGCCGGTCATCCACAATCCCTCGCCATTTGGCGGCTTAATGTTTTTTAGAATGGTGGTTACAACCTGCTTGCCAGTCCACCTGGGAATCGGCTTGATGATGGCGGGTGGGATAAGCTCAATCCTCTCACCGAGGATGTGCCCACTCTCCGGGCGCAACGCTGAGTAAATAAGCTGTTGATACGAGTCGCGATCAAAGAAAGTATCCTTGTTGCAGAGCGCGACGGATACCGAAAGATGGTCCTGAATTAATCCACGAAGGGGCTTGCCTGCAGTTCCAGAGAGATACTGATGGTCCGTGTCGGCGATCTGAAGAGCCTCGGCTCTAGCCACCTCATTCTGGGGAAAGTGCATATTCATTTCATCTCCGTCGAAGTCGGCGTTGTACGTATTGCAGTTGGCGTAATGCATTCGGATTGTCTTCTCACCAGGCAGCACCCGCACCCTGTGGCCCATGATGGAGGGCTTATGCAGGGTTGGCTGGCGGTTCATCAAGACCACATCACCGTTTGTCAAGTGGCGATAGACCTTCTTGCTTTTCACGCCACTCATCTGGTTGTTGGTAGGGGCGAGAAGCTGGTTGGCGAGCGATACACGGTCATCAGTCGACTTGGAGCGTAAGTTGACAATCTGGCCATTCTCGTACTCGATTGCCGCAGCGCCTGGCCACTTATCGACACCATTGATGACTGCTTGCTGCATATCTCTGAAATTGTGGCTTGTGACTGGCTCGGGGTAAGTCAGCTTCCGTGCAAAAACAGGAGGCACGCCAATTTCGTTCGTTTCGATGTTCGGATCCGGAGAGATAACACTTCGCGCAGCGAAGTTGACTCGCTTTCCCATCATGTTCTTTCTGAACAGACCTTCCTTCTTCTCCAGCTTTTGTTTGATGCCGTCTTCATTTCTCTTGGCCGCTGCGCCCTGCACGGGGTTTTTGCTCTTGTCGATTAGGGAATTGACGGACTCTTGTAATTCTGTCCATATCTGGTGCAGGTCGCTGATGTCTCTCGCTCTTCCATACTGATCCGTACCTCCGACGTTCTGGTGTATCCTAGCAATACTGACACAGTTCCGCAGAATGTTCTTGTACAGAGAGTTTTGCTGAGCCTCAGAGATCGAGTCGCCGGTACGAGCTTCGGGTCGAAACTTGTTTGGGGGAACAAGGATTGTGCGGAGAAAGAACATATCAGCCGTGATCTTAGCGGCCTTCTTAGTCATTGGCTTTGAGTTGTAGATCAGAGACATAATTTCCTGCTCTTTTTCGAACAGCTCTCGCAGACGAGCACGAACTTCCATGGCGCTGATGTATCGCTGCTGTCCCGGGGAGACATTGGTGGCGTCTTCTTCTCCTTTGTCCATAGGGCGATGCTCGTCACTGCTGCTGGCATCGCGCATCTCAACGTCATTCTCTTCAGACGGGGCCAGATCGACATCAGCAACGCCCTCGTCGGCGTGATCAGAGCCTCGCGTTGTCTTAGACTTCGATGTCGTGGCAGCGGTTGCCATCGAGTCCTTCATGTGCAGGCTCCTTTGAGCCATGTGTGCAAGGTCTCTCTCACTGAGGGCCTTTTCAAAGATTTTGACGAAACGGTCCTTTCGATAGGCCGGGGAAATGCCACCGCAGTTGTCGCACTTTCTGGGCTTGGTTATTTGCACCATAAACTCCTTGATGAGCTCTCTTCGCATTTCAATGGACCCTTCGTGCTTGCCCTTCCTAAGCTCTCCAAGGCTTAGCTTGTGAGCCTTCAAACTTTGGCGAACGAAGGCCTCGCGTGCGCCGATGACGTTGTCGACAGTGGAAGTGCCTTCTTCTTCGGCCTCACTGTCGTAATCAGTGGGGACGCCGGGCATCGCAAGGCCCTTGAGCTCCTCACCAATGGCATCAACAAGATGAGCCTCATGCAGCAAACCATGTTGGAGAAGGCGAAGTTTGCATGAGAAGCGGTTGATTTCGCGGTGGCGCATGCGAAAACCTTTGCAATAAGCGCATTGTGACCTCAAGAGCCGAAGGACTTGATCGAGGAAGATCGGATGGTATACAGGAACGGGAAGCTCGATATGGCCGGCGTGGCCAGGACAGGAAGACTGGTTGAGATTGCAGGTCGCGCAACTTTGACAGGGTTTTTGTTAGTCAATTGAGACGAGAAGAGTCGATTGCAGTGACAAACATACAGAGAATCGCCCCAGGAGCCGAGCGCGGGGTCGTATAGACCACCAGGAACAGGATTGAGAAGATTATCGAAAGTGCTGTCGTTCTCAATACGCTTGACGGAAACGGCTCTGATTTCCTCCTCGGTAAGAAAAGTAAACTCGACCGTCTCCACGGACGACGAGATAGGTTGTGAGATGTTCATCCTGCCAATGAGGCTTCAGGAACTGGCCTGACACCGATCTGAGTCTATACAGAGGGTGAGGCGGAGGGAAACAAATTTTCCATTCAGTGTCTTGTCGGTCGGGTTGGTACGGGCAGCTCGGTCGCAAAATCAGCTAGATCAGTAGGAGATCAAGTGTTGGCGGAAGGCAGGCAGAGGGGAACTTTTTTTGGCGGTGGCTCGCGGCAGAAAAGGACCCGCCAATAGTGGAGCCGTCGCGAGGTGTCGAGGCAACATTGAAATAATCAGGTAGTGAGAAGGTGCCAACGAATCCCTCGGCAATCACCCTTATGTAAGAACTGTTTGCACCAGCCTGTAGGCCTGCGACGCCATCCACAAGGCGTCACATGTACACGCATTACTCCTTGCCTATCAAAGCACGCTCGTCTCTTGTTAGTTTGGTTTTGTCCGTCCAGCCGTATCAGAAATCACAGCCGACGACTGTACCACTCCCTCGCCGACCCCCGTTGCCTTCTCGAAGGGGAAGCCCGCACCTCTAGACTCGATCCCCAACGCGCAATAACAAATATCTCCGTCATATCGAACTACGATGGATCGACGTTCCGACCCAAGCGGCCTAGGGCCTCGTCACGATCCAAACTCTCGAGTGCACAAGCCCGAGTCCGCTGCCGACAAAATGGCTGCGTTGAAAGCAAGGGTGGCAGCGGCGATTGGGGGCAGCAAAGCCAAAGGCGTCCCTGAGGCTGGACTGCATCCTGCTCTTCAAGGTCTTGGACAGGTTCAGTCTTCGGGCCGTGGGAGTGATAGAGCTCCTCCATATCGATCTCAGATTGACTCCAGCTTATCGTCTTTGGCTGGCGCTAGGTCGTCGATCCCTTCAGCGCGTAGTCAAGACAATACAAGACCAAACCCCTACTTCAACGACCAACAGGCGGGTCCACCCACAGGAAGCCGGCAGCGACAGTCTCGCCCCCTTAACTTTCATCCAAGGGGCAGATTCATCCAGCAGGGCAATGCGATGCGACGACAGGCTGCGCTGGAGGAACTGAAGAAGAAGATCGCCGCGCAGACCAGAAAGGCTGGCATCGACGAGGAATTAGATCTGGAGAAGAACCTTGTGGTTGAAGCACCTCCGGACATCGAATGGTTTGATGAAGGGCTCGTCGATGGCGGCAACTATGACAACATCGACGATGAAATTCACCTCAAGATCACATCGGAGGACACAATCGTCACCGAGTACGTCCAGCATCCCGTTGCATTAGAGCCACCGCAAGAGCGAAACAAACCTGCACCGAAACCCATGTTTCTTACGTCGAAGGAGAAAGCCAAAGTACGGAGGCAGGGGAGGATGGCCGAACTGAAGGAGCAACAAGCAAAGATCCGGCTTGGCCTTGTGCCAGCACCGCCGCCCAAGGTTAAGAAGAGCAACATGATGCGAGTCTATGCAGACTCGGCAGTCAAGGACCCTACGGCGGTTGAGAATTTAGTTAATCGCCAGATTGCGGAACGGCAACAGAAGCACCTGGAGGCCAATGAGGAACGGAAGCTCACCAAGGAGGAAAAACACGACAAGCTTGCCGCCAACCAGGAGAAAGATGCTGCCAAAGGCATTCACGTTCTGGTGTTCAAGATCAACAGCCTTGCGAATGGACAGCACAGATTCAAGATTGGGAAGAACGCCGAGCAACACTCTCTCACTGGCGTCTGCATCATGCACCCAAGGATGAACCTGGTTATTGTCGAGGGGGGGGAGCATAGCATCGGAAAGTACAAGAAACTGATGCTCAGTCGTATCGACTGGACAGAGAACTCGCCATCGCGCGAGGGCGCCACACGGCAACAGGCGCGAGATTGGTTACTTCCGGAGAATGAGAATGGGGACTTGAGAGACATGTCGCAAAATGAATGCAAGCTTGTCTTTGAAGGAGAAGAAAAGACACGGGCATTTCGCAAATGGGGAAGTAAGGTCTGCGAATCTGATGCCGAGGCCAAAGAAATCTTAACCAGATCGAAGATGGACAACTTTTGGACCCTGGCGAGGACCATGTAGAAGTAGAACGGAAGAGGGGCAATGGGTCTCAATGCAGTCAAGTCGGAGGGCTTAGCCCGGGCCTTTCTCGACGTCGTAGCGGCAGAATTATGTTCATCGGACGAACACACAAGTTACAATTACATCTCAATTACCCCCAGGTGAAGCTACGTGTCAGGGTGCAGGCAAGTTGCAAGTCTCATTAGACAGGCAAGGATCCGCGTGAGCATCCGCGTCGGCAGAGAGAAGAACTTTGCTGACCATCTCCTGACGAAAGGGCACTGGCTCTGCATCAGGTAGGGTGTCAGTATCGTTCAGTAGACGGGACAATCATGCTTTACACGCAACACGAAATGAGTCACAGTAGTGTGGTAGGGCCGGGTCCCTCCCTCTGCAAAGACGTGATGGCGACCCCACTGACCGGGGAAGCGATTGTGGCGCTTGTTTGTCCCATGCGCGACGCGTAGCGGGGCAGGTTTGGGTCCGCGGTCGGAAACATCACTAGGACATCATCTCACAGTGCGCAAGAGACAACAGGTATAGATCATGAAGTGTTTGGCATTCCTTGCAGCCATCCTTTGCTGCTGTTTAACTGTACAACCCTTGCGTTGTTATCAAACGCATTCGTAACGCCAGATTACCCCCAAAAAGCCAAAGACGGTCCCTTCGTCAAGCATTCCCAAAGCGCGAGTCATGAACCACCCATAAGAGAAAATCGAAAGACAATGTTTAGTTGCGCTCACCGCGGAGGCGGCGGGCGAGCTGGATGTCCTTGGACTGGATGGTGACACGCTTGGCGTGAATGGCGCAGAGGTTGGTGTCCTCGAACAGAGAGACGAGGTAAGACTCGACGGACTCCTGGAGGGCACCGATGGCGGAGGACTGGAAGCGGAGGTCGGACTTGAAGTCCTGGGCGATCTCACGAACCTGGGAAGGTGTTAGTTAGTTACCTTGCTGTGTGAAGCCGGTGCATGGGACTTACCAGACGCTGGAAGGGGAGCTTGCGGATCAGAAGCTCGGTGGACTTCTGGTAACGACGGATCTCACGGAGAGCGACAGTACCGGGCTTGTAGCGGTGAGGCTTCTTGACACCTCCGGTGGAGGGGGCGCTCTTGCGGGCGGCCTTGGAAGCAAGCTGCTTGCGGGGAGCCTTGCCACCGGTGGACTTGCGGGCGGCTGTGAGGAAGGAGTCAGCGCTGTGCAAAATGGTTGGCAGATTGAGCCAGAAAGGAAGTGCGTACTCTGCTTGGTGCGGGCCATTGCGACTGTTGTTTATGGTGATGAAGTTGATGGTTTGGGTGTTGTTGAGCTGTTGGTTGGTGTGTTGATTGAAGGCGGTGGGTGTGAGTGGATGAGGAGAGAAAAGGTTGGAGTGGGTGGAGGGCAGAGGGAAATAAATAGGAAGGAAACTGGGCTGGCTGCGGAGGGGAGTGATTGTGTGCCAGACGGAAGGTGGCCTGTGCGTCGGCGCGCGACGGTTCGAAAAACCCCGTTTTTGCAGGTGCGATTACTCTGGAAAAAGGCAGGCGCAGCTGGCGGGATTCTATGCTTTGTTGTCGAAGTGTGGGTGGCTGATTTTTGATTGGCTAGAAATCTTGCATCTGCGACGCCACCCCATCTTTCCAGGTCCCACGGCCGAAGACCCGGTAGGTAGTTGCAGTACGTACCGGTCCACAGGCATTCTTAGTATCCTCACTTTCCCCATCGAACGCTACCTTACGACTTCCCCTGTCACTCTGTCTGTGGAAAATGCGGGATGCGGCAGCAGGCTTATGGTGCTTCAATCACGCCTCACCTTGTCTGACGCGGTAGCAAGTACGTAGAAGCAGTAGGACGCGATCTAATACCTGCTGCCCACTGTCACGCGTCTACGTCAGTCGTGGCATTCTTGCCACCACCACTTTAATGGCAAGCAAATTACGTGCACCTTCATATCGATATTTACCGCGTTTGGGTCAAGCGAACAATGGCTTGTTCGTTAAATCATCTGCGCTTTTTACTGCGGCCGCGGAACATCGAACACTGGAACGCACCGAACAAACAACAAAAAGAGAGATCAAGATCACTAGGTATTCTATCTGCTGCAAACCACTACGCGATGAGCTTGAAGGGAACTAAGCGTGCGTGGGTGAAGGCTCTTACCCCTAAGTTCCAAAACCTGAGCGCCGCGTCGCGTGAAGGAAACCTTGAGGAGGCGCGTAGTAGTCCGTCTAGACTGCCAGGTCGCAGGAGCAGACCTATACTTGTCCGCACATTTGAAAAGTCGATAGCGCCTGTGGCCCTGTGCAGCGGCACAGATGAGCTTGGAATTTTGACTCATTTTCTCATAGGCTCGTGCCAGATCCATCACCCATGCGGCGGGGGCGATGATACTCTTCCGCTTCGACGTCGAATCCATTCGCATGCATCTGGCGTTGACCTTGAAGTGAGTCCCCACTGTCCAAACGCATACCTAGACACAGTGGAGGAGACGCGCAAGTCGCCGCTGTTGCGTGAAGTTATGGCTACGGAATAGGCATCTGAATACTGTAGCCCTGTACCAATAACGCAACGCAACTTTGGCATAATGCAGCATAGAAATGAAGACGTGAGGCATCTGCACGATATCTCCTATCGCTATAGGTGTCTTTATCCCCAAAATACCCTGACAGTCCGCTATTTCTACTCGCGTGTTGAACGCGTGCGGAACTCGTTCAGCAGTGTGAGGCGGCCGCATTCACTAGCATACTACCTGGGTACCTAGAGCAGGTTGATGTGGATGGAGTAAGGAATGGCTTCTGGTTGGCTAAGTATTTGTCCCTTGCTGCCTCAACTGGTCTGTGCACGGAGAAAAGGCAGTCGTTGTTTTTTGATTTTCGCGTCCAGCCCGCATCGGCAGCACTGCTCGGAGTACGTACCGAATTTTTTTTTGGCTGATCCCAAATCTCATCAAGCGCGACCTGCTGATATAAATCCCGTTCCCCCTCTGCGCGTCACTAACCGTGTTTCTTCCCAACTCAGCCCCACGTTATCTCACGCAACCACTTTCGCATCCCTCCCATTGCATCTCTTTCAGAGCCTCACTACCAACACTACACTCACACACCCCCCAACTACTTTACACACAATGACTGGACGTGAGTACATCCATGTGCTGCCTTTAATGCAGTCTTTCTCCGGGTTCTCCCATGCTAATTCTACTAGGCGGCAAGGGCGGCAAGGGCCTCGGAAAGGGCGGCGCTAAGCGTCACCGCAAGATTCTTCGTGACAACATTCAGGGTATCACCAAGCCCGCCATCCGTCGTCTCGCTCGTCGTGGTGGTGTCAAGCGTATCTCTGCCAGTAAGTTGCTCTTGCTTCGTCAGCATCAACAGCTCATGCTAACTCGATCTTCTCTAGTGATCTACGAGGAGACCCGTGGTGTCCTCAAGTCATTCCTCGAGGGCGTCATTCGTGACGCCGTCACCTACACTGAGCACGCCAAGCGCAAGACTGTCACTTCTCTGGATGTCGTCTACGCGCTGAAGCGCCAAGGCCGCACCCTGTACGGTTTCGGTGGTTAAGCGTGTTTGTTCTTGCATGTCAGTTACGAATCTTTCTGGGGCCACGACGCGATCCACTTTGAGGCGCGGTGGCACAAACGGACTTTGGGAGTGGTGTGTTTTGTCACGAATGACTATGGGTTTGGCTGGTTTTGGGTGTTCTACTGTACCATACGGGAAACAACGGGGTTCTACATGGATGGCTTGATTGGCATGAGACATAATCGATCCCTCGCCGAGGCACGTTCTGTTTGTTTTCGTGATTTTTCGCTACTATGTTCTGGGATGCTGTGTGCAATATGAGGCTCGGCACGATCTAGGGTCCATTCGCATTGTTTGCCCGTGATATTCTTCTCTATTTCCTTGGCTTGCCAACAGAGTTGGCAGCCTATCCACTGCCTTGGCAGGTCATGCCATGGTATCACAGCTTACTCCGCAGCTTGCGAAATGACTTTTCAAACGGCGTTATCCTATGTGAAGGGGAAATATTCGCGTGTCCTGTGCTATGATTCACCATGTTAGTAGAGTTCATACAGAAATTAGTGGGCAAGAGATTTCCTGGGCATAAACGGACTACGCTTTTGGAATGATGGGTCGGGACTGGGTCCCTGTACATGCGTTTGATGCGAATGTTCGCCCACGTGATTGCCGTTTTCCTTCAGTGAAGTAACCCGGCGTCGGTCTCGACAAACCTGGCCGCGATATATGTGTGCCTTCCAGTCTTGATGTTTTATCTTAGTCTTGTGCTGGATGTAGCTCCGTTTGGATCCGGCTGCCGCTTGATCTCATGAGAAATATATTTTTGCAGCGATGTGAACAATCCAATATTTATCACTCTCATATGATGGGGGATATACGAAAACTGACAGATCACGAGGGCAGCAATGAGGAGTCGTGTACTTAACGTGGCAATCATGATAGCAACATGAACATCGCCATACCGCTTGTACGAAGGCAAAGCCTGAAGGCTCCTCGTGAGATAGTCATGACAGCTCGACTATCCCCAGGAGTGCGTTTGAGGCGTAGATACTGCACAAGTAAAGTATTCAATTTGTGTGGTTTGGCCATTGCGGGCTCGTTTGGAATCCTGCATCTACGGATCGAATGACTACTATATTCCCTAGCATCAGCGCTAACAACACAAAGATCAATGGAATGGATATCTGTGATATTTCTAGCGCGCCTTACTGTCAAGCCGTATGGAAAGGCTAGGGGAGGCCGTGCAGGCGAGCAAACAACATGAAATGTTGTCAGCACGCTCTTCATCGATCGGAAAGCTACCCGGTGTGTTGAAGATAGTCGGGCAATGAAATGATAGGATATGACTAGACAAGGGGACCGCCAGTAGGAATGGACCGCCAGTAGGAATGGACCGCCAGTAGGAATGGACCGCCAGTAGGAATTATTCACAGACTGCTGGCAGCATCACGATTTACACGAACACCAAATAGTAGAACAAATTTCGACACAGGGCACGGAGAAGTTGTGCATTCGTATGAGCCTTACAAGGACATCGTCGCATGTTTGGCACGAAGCCAAAAGTTATCACACGTCGTCGTGCGTTCAAACCTGGCTGGTCGAACTTACTATCAACATGCCGACTAAGTGCGTTTCATTCCGTATTTCTGCAACCAATGGATCAATCTACTGTCGCTACATTGACTAGAATACCGGCGCAAACGTGTCCTTCGTGTTTACATCAAGACGGCCTAGAGGTAAGCGGCAAGCATGCCACGCATAGGTTCAAACCTCGCTCGAATCAAAGCGCTGGTCCCTCAAATCATGCTAACGGTCGCACACTAGGACATGATCGCCCTCGTGACTCGCAACAATCATGAGGCGGTGGCACTTCAGACCTGGCATGTCCATACCTCGGACATCATGTGTCCGGAGCACTGGCAATAGTTTCACTGAGAGTATAGTTCCAGTCGTATGATTATCTTGGAGCTTTGTAGGAATATTTAGTTATCGTTAAATATATCTCTAAGAATATAGGTCTGAATCCGCATCAAGACGGTGCAGTTACCCTGAAAGACCATGATCGCGCAAGCCACTGTCGTGAATGGATATGCTGTAGGAAGACATGTTGCAATCGTCGAAGAGACACCATGGGCACGGCTGAGTCACAAAGACTCGCGGGACCTCGAACGGAGGGTCGCGTTAAGAGCCAAGGTAGGAGAGGCCTTGCGACAGTTGGTTTCCCGCCATGAGTTACGACAATAAACGCGCATCGCCGCAGAACAACAGCCAGCGTGGCGTAGAAGCACGAACAAGTAGAGCCACCCGACAGCGGAGGAAGATAGTAGAATAAGGCAGGCATACACGGTTGATGAGGCTACTTTCGCGGAAGGCAAAGTGCGGCTGAAGCTGGGATAGAGACATTCAGGGGCGAGTGAGACGGAGGCCAAGCCACACGTTGGGTTCAATTGGAAGGACCAGGGTTTATAGCAGAATTATGCATCAATTTTCGCACTTTGAAGGGACGGATCAAAGCACACAGATGCAGGGGCGCGCGGTTGGAGGCAGATGACAAAAGCTCAACGGCCAAGGCTTAAGACATTCATTGGCCTTGTGCCTACCAGCTCCAGCAGGGCTTGACTTCGGATGGCGCCGGCCGGTACTGTTGAAGGGGTGCATGCGCCACCCCCAAATTCCTGCTGGAGACTTCTAGGAGCGGATACGGATACCTGCACCAAAGCTGGCAGGTCGCCGACAAGCCACAGTCCACACGCAAAGACCGAGGCCGCCGCCAATACCAACCAACACCTGCCGACACCGGTATCTTATC